TATATATATATATATATATATATTTGGTTGTGTAGGTAGCAATTGTGTGATTTTCCACACACCTAAATGAATCAAAATAAATACAATGTGATAATATATTTATTTACTTTGAAATCTAAACGATTGTTATATTCTTGAAATCAAACTTGTCATCGACCGATAAAATTATAAAATTTTCAATTAATTGACTGTATCAATAGTTAAATCGGTCGAATCGGTATTTAAAATATTAATATTTTCAAATATTATAAAATAATTTAAGTAAAATGAAGAGGATTAAAATTGTAATTAAACTGCAAAAACAGGTACACGTTTTGTGGGACAAATGACAAATCATATGCTGCTCATTTAGGGTCAACAGGGTCAAATAAATAATGATAGTTTTTTGTTTACAAAAAACATTCCACTGCAAGTAAGTTGACAAACAAATAATCCAGGGCCTATAATATAATATATTATTTTTATTTAAAATACACAAAAGAAAAAGTCAAATATTTAATCAAAATTGATTAAAATATCACATGTTAATATACAATTAAAAAAATATATATATGATATTTTATTGTATAATTATTTATTTTTTATGAAAAAAATATGGGTGTCTTTCCTAATATTTAGGTGTCAAAAGAATGATTAAATATAACTAATTAGATACAATTGCTTCTCAAATTTAATGAAAAAGAAAAAAGTGTCACGATCAAGGCTCTGACTACAGAGACCCAACAAGAAGCCCAATATGTCACCCATGCTGCGCGTGCTCTAACTGGGCCCGGCCCTTTTAGATACCCGTTTCTTGACGACCCGGGTCTTGCGCATCAATCCAGTTTTTGCCAACCCACCACGTATTACGTGCTAGGTAGTATTATATTTCTATTAATGACAGGAATAAAAGATAAAATTCTAAAATAATACTCTGGGGTAAAACGTTTTTATTTTAAGAGAAAATTCTCACTTTTTTGGTTTACCCTAATATCCACAAACATTTAAAATTCAACCAATAACTACATTAACTGAATTTAACAATCAGAAAGTCTTGATTTTCTTTACATTAATTAGAGTTGTAAGCGAGTCGAGTACATACTCGAACTCGTTAACAAAATGAATCGACAAATGAACTCGACCTCAATTAATTTATCAATATTTATTAGTTGGGCAGTTGAAATTACACAAAATCCTTAATTCGGAGTCTTAACAAGCTCGACTCAGCTCATTAACTAAACGAGCTCGAACCTTAACGAGTTAAATCGAACTCACAAACAGCTCGTTTCGTTTAATAGCGTTAGTGATTCATGCAAAGACACACACGTACATACACACACTATCTCATGAAAATTTATGAATCATGGACTTTACCTAACTATCCATGAAATATTAATTGAACATGTAAAATAATTTATCTTAAGTCAACCTGACAATATTCTCACGCTATTTTACCTCTAAATTTTTACCAAAGTCAACGTTGAAGAATATAAACCATCAATTAGCCTTTGAAGTAAATTAGTAGTAGTTAATTAAGATAATTGGATCAACTTACTGATAATGATAACTATATTCAAGTAATCAAAATTGCGCGTACATATATACAAAAATGACAATTTTGCAATGGAGCCATCCGATGGCTCGATTTGTGGAGTCATCCATAATTATTGACAAATTGTGTATTGACACGTGTCTTGCAATAAATACACTTTGGACATGTGTCAATATATTAAGTGATGGATGGCTCCATAACAAAATCATCTGATGGCTCCATAAAATTTTTTACTAAAATGATGTAAGGAAAAAAGATTATCTCTCCAAGTTGGTCATCAAACAAATACCATGAGTGTTTACTGTCAACACATTTTCTAGATTGACTTTAGGAAAATTATTTTCAACTTGGTATCGTATTTGTGTTTGGTCCACAATTTGGTTGGTCCATTATACTTTCATAGTAAAAACTAAAAATGCATATTTTTTGTTAAAGTGTTATATCCATACTTATATAATAAGAATTAACATTTATTCAAAATAGTAGGTCAAATTATGGTCAATATCGAATTTGCATTAAATATTTTCCAAAACTGGTAAGTTTTTGTCCTTTTCACACTTCTCATTAATTATGTCCTTTTCACACTTCTCATTAATTATGTCATTTTTACACATCTAATTAATTCATTAATTACGACATAATTATCATAAATCATTCCATCTGAGCTTTTATCGTTAAAATGTATAGCGATCTGTTATGACCTTATCCCATTGATATTTCCATGAAGCATCCTTATCGCGTTCTATTTTTTAGTAACCACTCTATATCAATAACCGAATTTTTGGTTAATGATAGTACACGTCTTTATTTCAAAGAGCGGATATTCTTTGACCTTTAATTAATTTGAACTGATTGCCTTGACTTTTCAATATTTAAAAACTCTTTTTTTTAATATTTCGGCTTAAGATTCGGATTTCATTATACAAGTCATCGGATTGTTTGAATGAAAATGAATGAAAAGAACACCAAAAACAGGTAGCCTTATTCATATAAACAATCCTAAAATATTAGTTTGTTCACCAAAAAGAGACAAATCCTAGAAATCCTAAAATATTAGTTTGTTCACCAATCCTAAAATATTTGTTTGTTCACCAAAAATATTAGTTTGATTTTTAGGATTTGTCTCTTTTGAAAATATTAGTTTGTGATAATGAGGAGTTACCAAATAATCAAACTCATAATGTTGTGTACAAGTAGGTTTTTAATAATATATGATTGTTACCGAACTTTTTAGGATTCAACTATGTTCCTATGTATTTTAATGATTTCAATTTCAATCCTAATGCACGTGAGGTTATATTATTCTTCCAAATTTTACATCTCGTGCATCGCACGGGTTACGTACTAGTTTTTATTTATATTGTGTAAGTTGTATAGTATATATAGTATGATATTTTAGTTAAAAATTCAAATATATTCAAACACGTGTTTGTGTAGCAATGAGTATTTTCTATAAATTTCATGTTCCTTATAATTACACGCATATTTTATATAAAATATTATTAATGGATTAACGTAGTTGAAAAAAAAAATCATGAAAAAAAAAATAGTTGTTACTGCTATCTACATCCATTTATGAAAATTCTTGATCGGATTGTTATTTATTTAAACCGTTCGAGCCAAGTTCATTCGCGAACATTCATTCTCTTGATCTCTTTTTATATATATTTCAAGCGAAAAAATCCAGCCGAACTTATTTAATTACAATTGAACAAATCGTTTCTGTGAACGGATCATTTACACTTTTGAACATATTAAACGAATTCTCAGTCGCCGCCCATGCCCCACCTGCACTGGATTACGAATCGAAATCTCACGAAATTAGATTTAATTCCTTAAATATGCACTCAAGTGAATGTGACATGTAAATAAAGCTATATTATTATAACAATATGCGTTTTATTTTAATAATATTTATACGCGTCATCCAGCAAAGTCATCCTAAAATAAAATATAATATGATATGAAAATCTAAGCCAAAAGGCCCATAACTAAGAAAATATTATTAGAGTCAAAATCTCTTGCCATTGTCAACCAGATACTGATTGCCCTTTTCTTTTTTCAACATTTTCACATATTAATTTCCACATATTTTTACATATTATAAATTTATTCTTATATACTCAAACAACATCAGACATATATGGAGCTTAATTTTTTTCAAATGGATACCAATCTTTCAAAGTGTCCATAACTGTTTTTTTTTTTCTTTTTCTTTTTTTGGAGTAAAGAAAAGAAGATTGCTTGACTACAAATTCTCAAGAATCTTGATCTGTTAACTATATAATTATCCATGGAGGAGCAAGTTCAAGGAGGGGTTTGTGGTGGCAATTTGTGGGTGGATCGATCGACAAAATTCTTCCTTTCGTCGTCTATCAACGGCCCTAAGAGCTTCGGGTGGCCAAGTCATGATCGAGCCACCGGTTCATTGAGTGGTGACTCGGCCGGTTCAGTTTTACACGAACCGTCACCCGAGAACGTCTCGATTGTCTCAACCCTAGAAATGATGGGAATCAACCTTTCCACAACTCTTGATGATGATAATTGGAACCAAGATTTGATGTAAGTGATCATTATCTTATTACCTACCTTTGAAAAATTTACTTTTAGTATCTATGTGTCTTGAAGAATTAAAAACTGTTGATTTTTTTTTATTTTTTTTTTGTCTCAATAGTCCAAAACTTTTGAGAAAGGTGATCTACAAAAAGTTATTTGACTTTATTTTTTTCACGAATTTTTGTATCAGATGATTTAATGTTAGACAGATCGATTCATCATATTAATATTTTTAACAAAAATAATTACTAATCTAATGGAATGTCATACTATTGTTTATGTACTGCTTTTTTAGTTTTTACAGTATAAATATTTCAGTTTGAAATCATGCGTATTTCTTGAATCAAGAGGTGTAACGGTTGAAAAGTCATACTTTTTAACAGATATACATACTTTTAAATTCAGATGTCATATTCTCAAAAACAATGTAAACAAAAGTATGATATATATTTTACAGTATAAGTATTCATTTATGTTAAAAATATATGACTAGTCGACCTATCTAATGATTAGACTGAATTTGTGTGGATGAAAAAGCATTATATATTGTCTAGTCTACAAAACTCATTCTTTTTTTTTTTCTTTTTCTTATTCTTTGTAGACATGAAAGCCAAAAATCACAAGAAAATTATTCTCACAATTTACAAGCTTCATCTGCTCCTCTTGGCCTAGTCGACCCGAGAATGAACATCGACGGGCAAAACCTGGGTTTTCAGTATAACACAAATTCATTCGACTATAAATTACCCTTGTTGCAAACCTTGTTAGATGTGGGTCCCAATCGACAATCTATACCAAACATTCATCAGGCGATAAATTACGGGCCGTCACAAAATTATGTGAGTCGGGCCGAAATTTGCCCTACTTTACCCAATAATGTTCAAGAAACGCGACATGCTAATGACCGTTTTGAGTTCGCGAATAATTACGCGCCTTTTTGGAATGCATCGACTTCGAGTTTTGCAGCCTCGAGCCAAGCTCGTTTAATTCGTCCATCGTCTCTTCATAACTCAAGACCTAATTTTCACATCCTTGATTCCAAGGTGCGTGCTTTTATTAATTAGTACTTCGTGTTTATTTTAGAAGGTTTATAGTATATGTGTTGTTTTTCGAATGTTACATATTTCGCATGGTACGGTAAAATACACCCTGTAACTTGGGGTGGATGATAGATTTGTCCAATAAAAATCGAGCACAATATATTCAAATATTTAAAAAATGCAAAAACTACCACCTACTACTAATTAAAAAAAATACAAAATTACAAAATATATTTAGTAACACATAGGTTTGGACACAATCTTTGCAATTTGATTGGTTTGTGGTTATTTTATACAATGGGAAAAGTTTAAAAATTGAAAATTAAAGTTCTAACGTTCAAGTCATCTCTAGTTAAGGCCGCCCATGCATATTTTATATATTTCCCTTTTGGTTTTTACTAATCATTGATTGGTACTTTTAATATGTGTAAATATAAACTAATTATTTGGCTAATAGTGTGCCTCAAATTTGACATTCTCTGGATATGCCGCTGTCGGGGATTATAATTTTGAAATATGTTGCATCATTTTTTTTTATTTTTTTTCCTAATTTATAAGATTAAATCTCAAGGGTGTTTCTCTAGATTTTTTTTTAAAAAAAAATAAAAAGAGTAGCATCATATATTCATATTTCACAATATTAATTAATACATGAACAATTTTTTTTTCATTTTTTTTTTCTAGCAACATAATTATCAAGAAGCCGGCCAGGGATCAAAGAAAGCCGGCCACAAGCTGGCAGCCAAGCGGCCGCCAGCCGAAAGTCCGTCACCATTATCGGCATTTAAGGTAAAATTTAAGAAATAAAATATACTCTTCTTACAAACGCGCATACTCATAATTTAGAAAATAATATAAACAAAAGTATGACAAGTACTAATATAAATATATATTATGAATAAAATATTATATAAAGTCAAACAATTAGACTGTCCCACATAAACTTTGTGTTAAATATTAATTATAATGCCTTCATGAATTTTTAACAGGTTCGAAAAGAGAAGCTTGGGGACCGAATAACGGCCCTTCAGCAGCTAGTTTCACCTTTTGGAAAGGTAATATAAGAAAAATTTTGAATATTTTTTTTTTCAAATATGTTTTAATCAGTTGAAAAAACTAAGGCTGTAGGATAAAATATATTATTCTTTTAATATGTCTGCATATTTGTGTGCATAATTGTTATATTTAAAATAAAAAATATCATAAACGAAAATATAATATTTCCCATACAATTAGACATTCTTATTCAAAAAGTGACGGGTCGATCCAACTAAATGATGGGTTGTTTCTAGAATATGTAAGTGTTTCAACAATGAATGTTTGATTAACACATTAATGGTAGGTCTATTTGTAATTTTTGTACTAATTATGTGGTTAAAATTATCCTAACTAGTAACCAACCTGTGCATTTGCACAGACAATAATACTTTAAAAAGATAATAATATAAAAAAATCATAATTTAATTCATGAAAGAAAAATATAATTAAGAAAATAATTCTCAAAATTAATATTGATCAAGTAATTGCTATGGAAGAGCCGTTACAACCGTTTTCTTTATGCTAATACATCCGGTCTTTTTCATGAGTGGATGTGAATTTGAGTACAATTTTGTAACTCCCTTGATTGGTTTATGCTCATAATTTATGACATTCAAGCAAGTTATTTTGTAACTTAAAAATAAAATTGAATGCTGAAAAATTTTGAAGGGAGAATAAAATTTAATGCATGAGAATAAAATTTAATGCATGGTAATATAATTTAATGTCTTGTTGCTACAAATTATATATATATATATATATATATATATATTAGATTATAATTATTTTTTTTATTATTATTTTTCTCAGACTGATACTGCATCGGTTCTCCATGAAGCAATTGAATACATCAAGTTTCTCCATGATCAAGTCAGTGTATGTTCTCACTCTAACATCAATTAATCCTAATTAATTTTATGCTTTATTATGATTTTTTTAAAAAAGGAAACTCACAACTCACAAGTACTTTCCTAGACCTATATTTAATTTACATTTTTTCTGGTACAATTTAATTTACATATTTAATTTGTCATTTAATTGCTTTCAGGTATTAAGCACACCATATCTAAAAAATGGATCCCCTCAACTGCAATATCAACAGGTATGACCTAATTAATGATCCTTAATTTATCTTCAATTTCAATTGTTTCTATTTAGCCATACCATAATTTGCATTATAGTATGCATAAATATTTACACTATTATTAAACAGACATAACGTTTACACAGTCATATTTTTCCAATAGAGTAACATGCTTTCAAGTTGAATATGTCATTCTCTATTAAAATAATATATATGTAAGTATAACATTTTATAGTATAAGTATATGTTTTTGTTAAAAAATGTGTAACTGGTCAAACAAGAAGAAAATCATAAATTGAGGAAAAATGTTGAGAAAAACATTTGAAACTTAAAAATGTATTTAATTTTAACTACTTAACTCAGTGAAAAATTAAACTGATAGCATTAAATATTGTTTATGTGTGCAGGCTGAAGACAAAATAAAAGATGCAAGAGAGCAAATTAAAGACCTAAAAAGCAGAGGCCTTTGCCTTGTACCAATATCAACAACATTCCCAGTAGCTACTGAAACTAACACTTATTTTTGGACACCAACTTTTGGAGGGTGTTTTAGGTAAATCGAAAATAGAAACAAAAAATTGGAATTTAATTTGAGTATCTGAAATCATATCTATTACTGCAAAAAAGCTGGCACAGAGAAAAAATTGCAAAAAAAGGGAAAATCCAAATTGTTTGTGTTATGTATTTAATAAAAAAAACGNATAATCTTTGATTTTGTGTAATAAATTGTTTTTTGCGTTTGTATTGTGATTTTTATTTAATGGTTAGTTTAGGAATGGGATCATGTGTAAAATTTCAGCTTTTAATTTTAGGCTGAATTAAGTAAGTTGATTATTAAGCAACCTTATGTTCCTGTTTTTGTATTTTATGCAAGAAACTAAAAGATAGTACTGAAGTATGGAAATAAGAGCGATTATTTTATTCATTTTTTTATTTTTGGAAGTTCATATGGAGCAAAATTATAGGTTATTAGTTATGCTAGATTTTATTGTGTTTAATTAATTGTGGCTTATCAATTAGTCCATACTTTTTTAACATATTTACCTACTTTTAAATTGAAATGATGTATGTAACAGAACAACATAAATTTTTTCAATATAGTCGATGAACAAATATAATATTTTCAATATATTTTACATACTTTCATACTGGACTGTTGTACTTAAAAAAAAAATATATTATTATACAGTATAATAAGTATAAATTTTGAATAAAGACAGATATGACAAGTCTCTCCTCACAGTTAGACTTTCTAACACTACACTTTCCATTTAACAATCCTAGCTTCAACTGTAAGAGGCAAGAGACAAAATCTAGATAAAAGAAGTTAATTAAAAGTAGATTTATAAAAGTGAAAAATGTGCATTTTATAAGAATCATGGACATGTTAGAAAATCAAGACTTTATAATTACACCATCTATTACTATATAATACGGAGAAGGAAAAATGTTTGAATAAATATTTCATTTCCCGCTTAAACATCATTTTTTCCCTCTCAAATTTTTCAAAAATTACCTGTTTTGGAAACTCTTTTTGAATTTTTTTCATTTATCCCGCCTAACTTAATTTGATTTTGGATGTGATTTATGGAAATCGGATTGTTTTATTTTAGGATAAGATTTGGTTGTTTTTTTGTTAAATTTGTTATAATTCCTTTTCTTTAGGATGAGATGAGATTTGTTACCATTTTTTTAAAATCCGATTTGGTACATTTTTAATTCACTCGCTTTTCCTTTTTTTTCACGTTTTATTTCACTCGATTTTCCTTTTTTTTTGATGGGTTGAGATTTGGTAAATTTTGTATTTTTAATTTTTTTAATTTTAATTCACGTTTTTAATTTTAATTTCACGTTTTGAATTTTTTCCTTTTAATTTTTTTTAATCCGATTTTTTTTTTCAAACATTCGGTAAAGTTTTTTTTATTTTTTTTTCATAATCCCGCCTACATTTCAATTGTAATTTATTTGGACGTATATCATAATCCTTTTTTTTTAATCGATTTGGTAGGAATCGGATATTTCCTTTTTTTTTGGAAGGGAGTTGATATAAATCGGATAACATCAATTTAAATTAATTAATTATGAAATTTTATTTCCTTTTTTTTTTTCAAATCCGATTTATATTATATAGATAGATTTCACTTCCTTTTTTTGTAAGCGATTACCTTTTTTTTTGTAAGCGATTGTTTCAATTAAACGTGCACTAAGATCGGGTTGACCGAATTAAACAATTTTGAATAATATTAAATTAATCGATTACTATTAAATTAATTTTATTTGATTTTCACGTCTAAAATTTTCCAAAATACTATTTTTATTTTTGTGGAAAATGGCGGTTGGATGAAAAAGTCAAATTCAAATTAAAAAAAAATGTTATTTTGAAAAAGATATTTTGTAAACCTTAATTCATAAAAATATGGTCAATGATAACTTTAAATACAACGGGTAAATATGGTCAATGATATCATAAATTATATTTTATATTCGATAAGTTCAACTTAATTGATGATTTTGTTTGTTAATATTTGCTTAACTACAAAATATTTTAAAGTTTATAAAGAATCTCATTTTATGTAGGTTCTTGGTACTTTTTTATTTGTACATATTCATTTTTCATCCCATATCCAAATACAAATTTAAATGCGGATCTTACATGTTTATTAGAAATATATGTATATTTTTTCAAAAAGTATGACGATCATATAATTAATTTTATCATATATCATATGTTGGATGTTATTAGTTTGGTTGGGACACTCATTATATTCAAATAAATAATATATAATTTTTCATATTTAGTATTTCTTTTTTTATAACAATAAGATGTTAAACATAAATAACTATGTATAATATAAAGTCTTAGAAAAGGTTTTAAGTAAAAACCCCTCCGTGCAGCGCACGGGATACACACTAGTAAATTGCTACACGCGTAGAGACCAATCACGCAACCGTTTCATTTTTCTTGTTTAATAATTAATTTATGAAGTCTTAAACAATAAATTAATAATAATTAAATTCACAAGTGTACTAGTTGAGACGACAAAATTCCTTACGTCTTAGGTACATTAAATCATTTGAATAATTTACTTTCTCTATAAAATGACGAAAACTAGTTAGGCGCTACTTACTATTGTCATTTCATGAACTTTTTTTCCAAAAAAAATCCTTATATTTTTAAGTGAGAAGAAATTTCAAATAAAGTAAACAATAGGGACAAATTTGAGCATGGTTAAATATATAAGCTTTATTATCATGCGCGTTATTGTGTAAGTTGGCTTAACTGATGATAAACGTACGAGTTGATCAATCGTACTTCTTTTAATAAAAATAAGCAGGGCCGTCTCCAACATTTTTTGGGCCCAGAGCGAAAAATGAAATTAGGTCCCCCTAATTACAATATTGAATAATATATTTTTAATATTTTATTACTAAAATACAAATATTTAACGATACAACTAAAACTAGATGTCCTCGTACCCACAAAATACAACAAAAACAAGATTAATGTTCTAACATGAATGTCATTTAATATATTATTATATTTTTTATTTATATTATTATATATATTATTTTAATATTTATATATGGGGCCCCAATTAATTGGGGGCCCTGTGCAGTTGCTCACCCTGCTCCCCCAAAAGCCGGCTCTGAAAATAAGTATTTATTCAATGCAATGTTATATCTTTTCATGTTGTTATTTAGAATATGATATTTTAATTTAAAAGAATATATATTAAAAAAATATAATTATCTAACCACTAATTTGTCTAACTACAATTTTACTGTTGATTAAACAATGTGTCTGTAATCATAATGCCAACCTTATTGTCAGCCCATATGTTATATTTAAGGGGCCCAGAAAAACTGGAGAATGTAGAAGGCCCAATTTACCCAAATGTACACCTCACTTCGATTCTATTTTTCAATATATATAAATAAATAAATAAGGCCAATTTACTTCAACAAAATTTGAATTTTGTCTGGGGTTTTCTTTTGCGAAATTGGTTCACTTTATCTTTCGCCGTGTTCGCTTCTTTGCCGGAGGTTCATCGATGTCGTCGACGACATTTGCACCGATAGTTTCTTCGCTACCTCTGCTATGAGATTTATTATGGAATTGAATCTTTCTCTGGACAAGCTTGCATTCAACTTCAGCTTAAACTTTGCGGAAACGAGTACTGAATCACGATTGTGGGGCTTCTATTTCACCAGGATGATGATTGCTTCCTACGACAGTGGGGTGGTCGATTTTCGCCATTAATTGTGCTATTAATTCTCGGCTAAGAAGATAACGAATATTTAGAACAATGGCGTGAACGAGGAGATAAACAATTATATATATATATATAAGCAATGATATTTACTTGAAATAGTAACTAAAAATCAGCAAAAAAACCTTTGGTTTCCCGCCTAAAATATTTACTAAATTGAGTAATCTTTTTGGCCCAAATTTTAATAATCCCGCCTATGTGATTATTTTTTTCGAAAATTTAAAATGTAAACGTTGGGTCAGTTTGAAAATAAAATCGAGCCTAATTTTGTGTCTATTGGATTTATTTATGCTATTTATTTTTTTTAAAAGTCGATTGTCTTGCCAATTAAAAAATCTGAATTTTTGTTAATTTAAACTATAAATTTATTTCAAACGTTTTTTTCTTGCCAATAAAAAAATACGAATTTAGTTAATTTCAACAAAAGATTACTAATTATAAAAAATACAACTTTGCCAATAATAAAATGCAATTACACATATGAAAATCAGTTCCAGGTGACTAAGTTATGTATCAGTTCGACCACATCAAATCGATTATTGAACCTAAATTTAAATTTTATATTGAAAATATGTTATTACGTGAATGTGATGTAGTCCAAACTTCAAATAATCGTATTAACAATACTTTATGAAAACATGTTTAATAATTTATGAATATTTATATATCATTTTATTAATATTTATGTGAATTAAATAATATTTTATTATATATTTATTAATATACAGTAAATATAAGTTTTTAAGAACTGGATCTTCATCAAAACGATCAAGCTATTTTATTAAATAATTTGTGGTTTGTTTAGATTTTAATTTATAAACATTTTTAATAGATATATATATATATAGTACTTTTTGTAATAAATTTAAATACAATGTGTTACTTAGATATCTAAACAATTTATAAATTCAAATGTTTAAACTAAATTTTATTTAAATATGTAATTTTATTTAAAATAATTTTTAATATAACAAAATTTATTTAGAAATTCGTATTGATCCTACCAGTCCATGGTGTTGACGGATTCGAGAGCAATATTTTATTGTTTTTTAGACTTAAACGTTGATTAAAAGAGGTAAAAATTTCTAATTTTTTAGACTTAAACGTTGATTAACACCATAGATTGAGAGTCTATATTTAGTAAAATTCCTAATTGTAATAAAAAAAATTAATTTTTGCTATATTTTAGAATATCTTTAAATTCATTATAAAAAAAAAAAAGAAAAAAAATTACAATGAAAAAAGCAAGTCAGCTATGTTGAACTTCTCAAATCACATTCACAATTTGGTTACAAGAAAGGAAACTTATTGATTAAAATATTATTTTGTTAGTAGTCTTAATGTACAAGATGCTTTAAGGCTCCACTTGAATATTATACAACTTTTATTGAACATTGTACAATTTTCTTGCGTATTATAAACTTTTATTGAATACAGCATCTTATAATATAATATTTTTCAAATAAATATATCCCGTGCTTCGCACGGTCACGTATTATATATATCCCGTACAATTTTCTTTATTCATGTATATAATTATAAGCTTGGATAAATAGCCTTAAAATTGTGCACCCGTGCATCGCACGGGCTCTGTAGTAGTTTGACAAAAATAAAATTCTAAAAAAAAAGTCCACTATTGTTAAGGAAAGCAGATTTGATTTGCAAAAAAAATTAGATTACGATTCTTATTTTTTCAATACAAATGCTAAAATCTACAAGGTAGCACCATTTAAGTCCACTACAATTAGGAAAGTAAATTTCATTTGCATATAAAATATTAGATTTCGATTTTTTTTCAATAAATGCTAAAATATGATTCCATAATACAAAAAATATATTCCAATTTTAGTTTATAATATCATTCCATATAAATGTTATACATATTTTATTGTTATGATTAAAAAATTAATGTTTTTATTTAAAGGCTATGGACACATGAGCTTGTTCCACGATCGACTCGATTATTGATAATTGGTGGTACCTTGTGTGCAAAATATGCAATAGCAAGGTGGAGAGTGAAGATGGCGAGATGCATTGCACCAAATGCACCCATACACATGGCACTGCACGGTTAGAATAAATTATAATTTTTTTTCGCAATATTAAATAATTTTAATTAATTATTATATTATTTGGTACTTTATGGCATGTTTTTCATTTTATAACGATACAAGATTCAATTTGGAATCGTTTATGCTTCTGCAAATGGCACTTTTATATGTTGGGATAGAGAGTATGAACGGATGATTGACAAGTCTTTTGAGTTTCTAAAACGTGAATTTTCTACGTTAAAGTTGACTAATATTTAATAAAAAAATATCAGATACTTAATTTCAAACTATTGTCCATATGGTTTCGGAATATTGATTAAAAGAAGACTGACATTCCTCCTTGCTTATTGATTGTTGATTGAGCTGTTAAAATGATTTGAAACGAGATAGGACAAATTTTAGGAATTTTATTAAGTTTTGGTACTTATAGTTATTGCGTATATGTTGCTTCAACAGTTTAATCGGACGCGAACTGAACCAAATGTATCGAATTCAAAGGAGCTTCTTTCTATCTGTCGTCAGTAGGTTTTATGTTAGGCCGACCTAACCATTAGACCGACATACTATTTTTACAAATATGCATATTTTTATTACAAAATATCATACTTAAAATAAAATATGTAGGTGGTAATTGCAGCTAGTCGGGAACTTTTTTTGGTACAAAGCTAGTCGGGAACTTTACAACAGTGAGTATTACACATTCAAAATTTCAAACATTTTTTTTTTTTTTTTTTNATTTTTTTTTTTTTTTTTAAAAAAAAGGGAATTAAAACTCAGAGAATTTAGGTTGAAAACTCTAATGCGCTTTACCAACGTAGCTTGGGATATCGAACTCAAGCCCAAAACATCAATTTATGGGCCCAATGTATACCTGTTTTCACAATGGCCCAATTGTTGAACATATGTGACTTCGAAACTTGGTAAACATGCATCTGGACGATGGATGAAGGATTTTACAACTCAAGGCTTGCAAAAATTTCATAATGCTGGTTATATGAATTGGAAAATACAGTAAGTTTCAACTCCTTGACATTTATGTTCCAAGTTTTGGAAGTATAGGAAACACTTCTCAAATGGACTTTTGAATGCAAAATTCATTTGAATAAATAATCAGGTGCTAAATTAAGAATGGACTTATAGGTAAATTTTTTCTTAAAAAAGCCCATTTTGAATAAGTTCATCCATTAAGTGGAGTTTTCCAAAAGTGATCCCAAACAAGCACTAAGTTGTTTAGCTTCCTCCAAATTCAAATTATCATATATACAAAAGTTCCCAAGGGCATGTTTGTTTACAAATATATCCGCTCAAAATGAGTTTTTTTTTATTAACCATGGTTAATTTTAAAAAAAATAGTATGATTAGTTGTTAGTGTAATTTGATTTTATATTAAAATAATATTTAAAATAAAATAATTAAAGTTGGTTTGATGTAAAAGTAGGAGAGATATGCTGTGAAGTGATGGTTAGTTAATACTATCTAAGTAGATGAATAGTAAATTAAAATTGGTGTGATGTGTAGGAATGATTGGTATTGTTTAGTTATATTGATATTGATAATATATATAATTCTCGAATGCGTTGAGCCTAAGTGGCAAACTCGTGTGCTTCGTAAGCTTATTTGACATAAATTGGTGCTTCGAATTGACACATGTTCAGGTTCATTTTGACTATTAGGCTTGGGAATTACCATAAACAATTTTAGCTTCTCTTTTTTCTTAAGTTACCCACTACTCTTACCTTTTTTGTTTAATTCATATATTAGTTATTATAAACATGTATTCTTTTTATATTAAACTTCAAAACTTTTTATTTGTATTTTATTTCTTTTTATATTATCTAGCAAAATAATTATATTTTAAAGATCTTCAATTTGACATCCATATTGCATATATAAAATAAACAATTCATCTGTATTTATGAATAAAATTAATTTTATTATCAACATAATTTAAGATACATCAAATAACAATATAAATTATTTTATAAAAATAATAAAAAATCTAATTCATTAATACACCATAAAATAATCATTTTATTATTTTTTTCCATAAATTTTGAAAAAAAAAATTAAGTATTACATAAAATAAATTTTAAAAGATATTGCAAAATATTTATTTCTCAATTTAAATAAATTATAAAAAACCGAATGTTGTCATGATATTTAAAATAATAAATATAAAAGAATATCATAATTAAATATAATAAAATAATTTTATATTTCATAATGTTAGAAAATAATACATTTCTAGGTAATTCTAAATTATAAATTATATGAATTTAAAATACTTGAAAAAATAATAGACGTGAGACACTAACTCTATACGATACAGTAAACCTTGTTTTGTTTTAAAAAATAAATAAAATATATGGAGTTATAAATAATATCAGTTTTATTTTAGACATATATAATTTTAAAAACATATTTAAAAAATATCTTTTTCGACAAATTTAGTGTAAATATATAGACACCATTTGAATATATTATCATTTTGTTAGTTATTTATTATTGTTGCATATTCATCATACATGATTTCACAATAAAAATGTAAATTATTTTAATTTTTATTGTACAAATATTAATATATTGAAATTCCCGTGTAGTACACGGGTATTGTACTAGTTGATAATATTGAGGATAGTCGATGTTGGGTCAAAGTTGAGTTAGATTTTGAGTACGAATTGAGTGTAGATAGAGTATTTTCATATACAAACACACCCTAAGGAACACCCTAAGTTCTTGACCCTTAACCACAACTACAATGTAGTCATCAGTTATTCACTGTTGGTAGGAGTGTAAACGAGCCGAGTTCAAGCTCATGCTGCTCAAGCTCGATCCCAACCCATTAACAAGCTTATAATTGAGCTCAAGCTTAGCTCGTTTATCATTATAAACGAGTCGAGCTAGAGCCTTAATGAGGCAAAACCGAAGTTTAACAAACCGTACTATAGAAATATACATAAAATATCATATTTTCGAATCTTAACAAGCTTTATAGAACCGAACCGAGCCGAGCCGAGCTCGACTCGTTAATTGAAAGACTTTAAATGAGCTCAAGCTCAGCTCGTTTACCAAACGACCCGAGCAGAGTTCACGAGCCACTTGTTTAACTTGACAACTCTAACTGTTTGATAAACACACACATACACATACCCGCACGGTTGTGTGTTGATCGAACGCTTAAAAGTCTGGTGATTGTAATGCAGTTTTGTGAACGAGCCGAGCTCGAGCTCACGAGCCACTCGTTTAACTTGACAACTCTAACTGTTGGATAAACACACACATACACATACCCGCATGGTTGTGTGTTGATCGAACGCATAAAAATCTGGTGATTGTAATGTAGTTTTGTGTAAGGTGAACCTACTACAATTGCAGTGCAGTCATCGGTTATTCACCATTTGATAAACACATACATACACATACACATACCCATAGTTGTATCTTAATCCAACGATTAAAAATCGTTGATTGTACTGTAGTTGTGTAGTTGTGTGTAGGATGAATCTACCCTTATTGACATGCAACATTAAATAATTGCAGTTTCATGGATATGAATACCAGTTGAAAAGGTTTTCCTGTTCTGCAACTGAGACAACAAAAAATACATGTTCAAGATTCCTTCAAGAAGGCTCCTGCATTGCACCTCCCGATGACAAAACACGCATAAAAAACACCGGCATAGGCCGATTTGATCCGAAGGCCAATAGGGTCACGACACATCAGCACATGGTGACCCAAAAAACACGAACAACGGTAACCAACTAAATTGTGCAAGCAAAATTAGGGACCATCCACAATTTTCGGAAAGAGCATTGAGCAGAAAACTTTCGGAAAAAACAGAATCTAGTGATCTGATTGAGCTCCACTAGCTAAAACCATCCAAAATCCACCACATGAACAAAGGAAAAAGGGAAATAAACAGTCTAGAAGTTCAACTTCCATTCATGGGCAGCATGAGAAAACGAAGTCATGATTTCGGTTTTTTCTGAGCTTTGTGGACAGCAATTCTATTACTTTGTTCCAGAACAATAATACTAGAAACACCAAAAAAAAAAACATTACTTGAAAACAATATACCTATGGATATAGGCTATTCGTTTGTTCACAGATTGTGAGAGAGCTAGCACTGATGATATTTCCCGACATAAAAATTGTCTATGTCTACTTTGCTTTAATTATTAATATTTTATTTTGAGGAAAAATTGTTTTTGAGTTGCCAGCCACAAGAAATTCAGTAGAAGTAAACCAGGTTTCACTATATGTCAAGAATGCCATCCTCATTTAGAAGGATAACATCAAGATTTCTCTTTGGCACTTTAAAAAGGTTTTGACAGTGCAAGCAACTTGTTAAAATTTCAAGTAGCCGAACCCAAAAGTTTGCCAAAATATTTAGTTCGAGATACTAGAAAATTTAGGTTTAGAGGCACAGTTATCTTCCCCAATTCAACTTCAATATCAAAAACAAAACTACAGGACAAAGCTATTATACCCTTGCCTTGATTCATTCACAGAAAAGCTTCAACAGGTCAGATCATAAGTTTCATCAACAAAGAGAGTGAAAACACCTCTTTAATCTCCCAAAACAAAATTAAAAAAAAAAAAAATC